AGTAATTGAGACTAATATGATTACGTTTATGGGAGGTTTGACTTCTGAATAAACATTAACTCTACCATATTCCATATCCAGTGCTTTCCACAGTATCAGTCAGGGAGACAGGAAAGAAAATGCTTTTCATTCAGTTAATGCTACTGCAGACTTACTAATGCAAGGGCTTCCTGTTACTCATCAATTTAATATTGAATTTCCCTTTTAGACTTTGCTTATCTTCTAATGCAGTTCCTATCTTCTCCACTTTTGTTTGTCAGTCCACTCAGTCATCACATCTTCTTTTAAAATTGTACTGTACATTTTTTTTAGTTTAAACATCGAAAACAACAGAATCTGCCAGTACTGAAAGCAATGGTTCCTTATTTGGGGCTTCCGTGTATTTTCATTGTAACACAAAGTTTCTTCATGGGTGATTGCAAGAGAACAAAACATAGCTTTCTGTTCTTAACCTTTCCATTCCAGGGATGGATGTTAATATCTTTTATAAACCTTAAACCACTGTTATTAATTGGGAAATGAGAATATAGCTTCATGTCATACAAGCTTAGATGACACAGACTGGAAAAATTAATCAACAGGAAACACTACCTAACAAGGATTCAGCTGGAAGCAATATATCAAATACACTGTAACTCTGACCAAGATACAGTATCTGACCAACCGCCGAGTGCCTTGACACACAAGGGAAACTTTTCCTGGAGAATTGCTGTTGGAACTAGCAAAAATGCATCCTCAAGCTATCCCTCCCTTTTCCAGGAATCAGTGCTGCTTTTCTCTGCCAAACTCTCTTCCTTATTGTAATCGAAAGACATACTCATTGCTGTTGAGCAGGAGTACCCAGAAACTTTTGTGCTCTTCCCAGTGGAAATGATAGAACTTCAAGCAGTTGCATTGCTTCTGCTAGAAAGTTAGGTAGCATATCTTGAAACACCACTTTCCCTGAAGAACTACCTGTTTCATGCAGAGACACTTACATGCATTATAAAAATAATATATGTAAAAATAATATTTAAATAAATAAAAAGTAAATTTGTTTAATACTGTTGTGTTGTCTTCCCTATATGTTTCAGAACTGTTGTTCAGCTGATTTTCCCAAGTGTGTGTGAATGGTCTTTATTTCAGCTGATTTTCCCAAGTGTGTGTGAAGACTATTGTCTTTATCTGTATTTTTGAAGAAGTGATTTTGATATTCTTGAAACATGCCTGATTGATGTCAATCCTTTAGAGAGCCACAAAAAAATATAAAATATAATTTCTCTTTTCCTTTCAACTACAGAATCTCCACGGAGCAGAGATTCCATGCACAGCAATTAAAGAAAGCCTTGACCAATAAGCCTGTCATCAGCCTTGGGTGAAGTAATAGAAAAGGTGATCTGGAGATGAATAGCTGAAGAACAATACAAAGAAATTGATTAATATGGTCTAGTGAAAAGTGAGCTTAACAAATAGACTGAAATTCATTATTTGACCAGAGTACCAAATTGCTTATTATGGCATAGCACAGCAACATGGCATCAGCGTTCTTTAAAGATATTGAAAAGCTGAAAAATGTGGAAAAGAATCACAAACATTATTTTGAGGCCTGAAGGCAAGTGTTGCAGTAGGAGGCAGAGAGTTCAGTCTGCTTTAACTAACAAGAGAAAAAAATGGAGAAGTAATTCAGGTACAAAGGCCCCTAGTAGGAGAATATACCAACTATTACTCTAAATCAGTGAAGATGTTCCAACAATTGCTGAATGGAAGCTGAAGCCACACAAATTCAAGTAGGAGGCTTAAATTTTAACAATGTGAGCAATTAACCTTTGGAACAAACATGATGGATTCTCCATCTCTTAGTGTCTGCAGATTAAAACTTGATACCTTTCCGCAAGTTTATGCTTTAGAACAAAGTTGTGGGGCTCATTATAGTGATAAATGGCTGATATTTAATGATCTGTAACATAGAGGAGGTGAAAGTAGAAGATCTCAAGGTCTCTTCTGGACTTAAACTTTACGAATTCATGATGCCTCTGTTAAATTTGGGCACAAGGACACTAGTTAGGGTCAAAGGGGATATTTTGGCCTGCCTGTTCTACTCGAATTTTCTCATCCAAAACTTAATCATCTGCTTAATAAAGCAGTAATGTCTGCACTGGTATAAAAACAAAAATAATCTAGGATTATGTAAGTTACCTTGATGAGTGGAATAAAAAGAGGGACAACAACTTTTCTCATGATTTCTTCATGAGCTCCATTTTTTCTGAATGGCAGAAGATACCAGCCTCTACTCATTATCACTGCTGTGCTTCTCTGAAGTACTTTAGAATTTTGTTGATCACAGAAATATGTGATTGTGTTAATGAATGTGAATTAATGACTTCAATAACTGGAAGATCAGTGAACAAATGTAAATGCATGTTTGCTTAAGCATAGCTAATGCCATGAACAGTTTTGTTCACCTTCAGTTACAGTTCAGTTATATTTATTATGCTAATAATATTCATGTAAATGTGCAGCGGGCATGGGAGTAGTGTGGTAAATGGAAAGGTGCCAGAATTTAATGTCAGCATACTGTAGTGATACGACAGGAACCGCAGATATCGCACACATAAAATGTAGACATTAACTTATAAGGATTAGTAATACTTTAAAGGAACTAATTTAGGGTTGGGATGTTGTTCCTGTTTTACAGGTAGATTTTAGCAACCTGATAAGGTTACCAAGAAAGAAGAAATGGCGGATCCACAAGAACACAGTTCTTCTGACTTCACATTAGAACACACTGCCTCACTTGGCAGTGTCAAAAAACGGTAAGCCTTTACAATTTGCAAAACGTTATCAAGCATAAGGGGTCAGATTCAGTAAAGGGTTGTAGGAACTGAAAGTTGATCATCTGAGGTGTAGCATAGAATACAGAACCCTGAGCAAGATAACTAGCTTCCATATGCAGAGAATCTGTGATCATAGATCATGTGACACATGATCCAAAGTAATTAACATATTAATTACAGATACCTATAGCCTTTTTTTTTTAAACTGTGACTGTTTAGTCAATAGAAGACTACTGATGATCACAGGTGCAAATTGTAAAACTCCTTTTTCAAGCACGTTGTTTTTCAGCAAAATGCTTCCTTCTTAAAATTCACTGCACTGAACTATTCTTTGAACACAACTTTTTACATCATTCCTTTCCAAAGAATGAATGAAGCTTGATTCTTTAGAATATTCCCACAAGAACTGGTACTTACCCTTTCTTCAGTAGTCACTGCGTTACTCATTCAGGGGATAGTTTTGGATTCAATTCTCTCAGCTAGAGGAAAAATAAATTCACTTTTCCACCACTCCAGTAGAATACCCTAGGGTTCCACTATTCAGTAAATAATTTAGATGCGATGGGATAGAAAGACAACACAGATATAACACAAGGACTAGTGCTCTTGCAGGGCAAAAATTCTGTCTGACCTCAAGACATTGGGGAGGATATTGATTAGTCAGTGAGCACTCTGGGCTGCCACTTTCAAAAGAAAGCAGTAGCTGCAATTTTGCTTTCTGAATAGCCTCATCCTGCTTTTGTTTAAGTATGCCCTGAGAACAAAAACCAGAAAGGTCCTTGGGGTACCTTGGTATAGGATTATTCTGACTTTAAGATCCTGACTGAACTTAGGTGCAAGTTAAATGCAGATCCTTTTCAAAACAGTAACCATGTAAGACATATAGCTGAGCTTTGGCCAGGCACATGTTAAGAGCTAATACTTAATCTCTGGGCTCATTAGTTGTATGTTAGCAGAAAGAAAGAAATGGTAACTTGACTGGAAGTTAAGTAAGACAAGTAAAGGGAGTTTGAATGGCTGTAAGAGCTTAAGGGAAAGGTAATTGGACAGCTGAAAATAACTAAAACTCTACCACTCCATCAGTGGATTTCTTGCAATCTCAATCGTAATGATATATGCAATTAAAAAAATGTTTCTGCAGGGTAATTGGGTTTCTAGGTTGGAAGTTCTAGTTCACTGAGTAGGGATTTTGAATGCAATAAAGAGGACAGCAAGGCATATATTCAAGAAATGGATATAGATTTACTAAGGAAGCAAACATTCAATATTAGTCCCAAGAACTGTCAAAAAGTGCTTTTCTATTTCTTTTCAGACTGAATTGGATGTCTTTCGCCTCTTTGTAGTACATGAATAATGATTCATAACTTAACATCCCTGGTAAAATGCTCTTATTGCTACTCTAAAAGCAGGCATCCCCACCTAGATTGAGGTCCCTGGCCGAGTCTTGCAGCAGTAGCACATGCTAGAATATCATCAGGCTTGTCCCACTTCTCCTGTCACAGCAAATATAAATGGAGAACTGGCTTTGTCATTCTTCACCAAATGATGTGTGGATCCAAGGGAATCCACAATTGCAGCTGTTCCTAACTGTGTTAGTTGGTGTGCAGCCTTTGGCAGAAAACTTGAAAATAATCCAAAGCGTAAGAAGACAATATGAAACTTAGAGATAACTGGTATAATCTTCCTTCCTCCTCCCTCAGTACAAAAGTCTGAAAGATATGATAAACTTGCAACAGCTGGTCTCCAAGGTGTATTCTTACTGGAGAATGTGATCTCATATTGCTAAAGCTGTGCTGGCTGTAGCAGAATTGAACCATGATGAAATCCTTGTCTGGCTCTGGAAGTGAGAAAGTTCATGCCTGTTCAACCACCAATTGCACGAGATACTATGAAATAATCTCACATGCCAGGTTATTAGTGATCCTGGTTTGTGACCTAGGGCTGCCCAGTGAGTAGGATTCTGTGATGTAATGGGGGGCTGTGACATCAACTGTTCACTAGTATGTTTGCCAGCTTGAGATGCTAAGCCAGAATCACCTCTTTTTTATTATGTAGTGCTTGGTATACCTGTCATGCAGCTGCATCTCATGTGAACTCGTGGGAGTTTAAGATTTAAGGGGCAAAACAGGGCTTGGACCAGGCTGTAAGAAGAGCTCTCCCTCTTACCTTGTCCTCTGTTAATAAAGGATGTCTGAAAAGAAGCATTGTGATAAGGAGAGTTGCTCTGCTCTTGAAGTGCCAGATTTCAAGAATGCTTTGAAGCAGTTCCAGAAACTAGTTGAAAAAACGGTAACCCAGAAGACAAAGGAGAGATTAGGCTTGTATATTGAAGATGATGGTAAGAGATACTCTTTCTGATGGAAAAGTGTAATTTTCATATGGAGAGGAGGTGTCATAGAGACAAGACTATAAGAAAGACTTCAAATTAATGTTCAAACTGTGACTTCTTGACTTTTACAGGCAATAGGCAGATTGTGCTATGAGAGTGCTTTTCTCCTCCTGTTAGGACTTCTGGTCAAATTATAATGCTATGATGATTGCTCACAAAATATAATTGGCAGGGCTGCCACATATACAGGTTAGCACGATGCAATGTTTCTAGTGATCTGTAAAAGCACAGACCCAATGAATTATGTAAATCCAGTTGCTTAATTGTAAATAATGAGGGCGAAGTTTTGCTTTTCTCAATGCAAGCGGCTATTGTTGCGTGAAAGGATAAACTTTATCCCAGGACACCATTCAGGTTCAGATCAACAAACCAGAATTGCGGTATGAGAGTAAGGGAAGAAAGAAGAGGTGAGAATTTTTCACCCATTCTTTTATCTATCTGTTTCCTGTCATATATTGCAAATCGGGTGGTTTTGAAAAGACTGAACGTTAAGACTGAACATTTTTTTTTTTCCAAAATGCTTTAGTGAATACAGTGTGAGGAGCTGGAACTTGCATGCTATTGATATTGAAGGAGAAATAAAACAGGAGGTAGGGGGAATAAGGAAGGAAGCTGTACCTTGCCAGTTTTTAACTCTGTGGATATTGTTCCTCCCATACAGATGAGATAGACTATGATAAGTTCTATACAACCACACAGACACTTTTTGGTGCAGAAGTCAAGGATCATAATGTTAAGGCCTTTTTCAGGAAGATTAGCAACAACCTTGATACAAGGACAGAATGGTGTGAGGTAAGGATTTCTAAAACTTTATTAAATATAAACAACTAATTGGAATCTTAAAAGGTAACAGTATTAAGCTCTTGATTATGTGCTGTTCGTGAGTCTGTTGTTCATGACCTCCATGGCATAATGGGGCACTTTCATGTTGTTATTTTTCCTGCCTGCCATTCATTTAAAAAAAAAATATTATTTGGAAAACAGATATGCCTTTGAAGCTAGAAAATTAGATAAAATATATTGTTTTGGTTGATCTAGACAAAAGCTAAATTGAAGAACTGGCTTAGAATACCTTACTTGTTGCTATGTTATCCTATTCAAGAAGTGATGTTTAATTTTAACAAGTTGAGAAAGAAAGAGGCTCCATGTTTAGTTTGATAGTAAACAATTTAGAAACTTGCATGTGTCCATTTGTTGATCAAATGCAAGTTTCCAGGGAAGACATTTGAAGATAGGAGGGTAAAATCTGTCTTTGGAATTTCTCTTGTGAAATTTGAGTGGTGATATCCATTCTGGTATGTGCCTTGAGAGCTGAAGGAGTTTGTATTATTGTAAAATTTAGCTCTTTCTAGCTCGTGTTATTCTGTGCCCTATGCTGTTATAATTTTAGTTTAAGTAAGAAAATTCCTATGTTCCTAGTGCCAAAACCTGGAATGTGAAGCTTGAGCATCAGAAGATCAGTATTCAATGTAAGTGTAAGTTGTAAATACGAAAATAATCCCTAGAGGCATTACTTCACTAGAGTGAGGACTAGTTCTTTCAGGCCATCATGTCAGTGAAAGATTAAGTATGGAAGACCTTTGCTGAGCCCTGCCTTTCCCCCCTTTTTCATGTGTATAAACAGGTGGGTATTTTGCAAATGACAGTGTTGTCTCTACAAACTTTTTGCTAAGAGATTCCCTGTACTGGATTTTCTGCTGACTATCTCTGGCTAATTTCAGACTTCTAAATATATCATGCAAAACAGCTTAACACATGGGAGAGTCCATGCTGCTGATTCTGGCAGACTCTTAAGAGCAAGATTTGCTCATACTGTGCTGGTTACAAAATCAGTCCAGTAATTCCAGCAAGAAAGACTATTTTTTATTCCAAATATGTATGATTTTTCTTATTCCACTCTTTCCAACTCTGAGAGGTATCTGTCCTTATAAAGGCATGCCATTGGAGGTCTGATAAGGAAGGTTAATTAGAATGAATTCAATAAAGCCTGGGTAGGTTACATTTTTATTTGTAGGTGAACTACTTTTCTTTCCTATCCCTATCTGTTTGGTACATCAGCTGAACTTGCAAATCAAAATTCTTATTAAACATTAATTATGCTACACTGGTTTACATGAGTTGAGGAAGTTGGTCTCTGTTCTCTCTGAACCAAGATCCTTGAGCCTATTATATAGATGCACATGAATACATGTTAAAGCATGACCTAACTAAATAAAAACATTTTTCCTGCTTGTTTTGTGAAAGAGCACTGAGCTGTCTACCAGAACTGCATATCCTCAAGCAAAGTTTGATATACTAGATTCCTGACAAGGCAGCAGGATCTGGAGCATGGAGCCTGAGTATATCCAGGTCTTCTCCTGAACTACTTCAGTGATATGCATTGGCCTCAGGCTTCTTGACAAAATGCAAAATCTCTTATGACTACAGTATGCAATTTGTACTCTGAGAATAAGTCTATCTTTAGCTAAACCATCAGAAATGCTTCCTCTCTTTCTTTTCTTTCCTCTCTTTTCTCTCTTTCCTCTGCTTCCTCTCCTTCCTCTTCCCCTTTTCACAGGGATAAATCTTCCCTTTACTTTACATGTGAAGCGTTAGAGGTATGGCAGCATTTTAGTAGAGAGTTTTTTAATCAGAGAATTCTGTATGTATTATTTGAGTCTGTAGATGGGTGAGATGTAATCCATTTTTCTGTCTCTAATGGCAGTAAATAGCAAATCTTTGTGTAAGAATGAGGTAACTATGAAATGGTTTGGTTTACCCTCCTAGCTTCTGGCTTCATGTAGCTCAAGGATTTTCTGTGCCAGAGTTGCAACTGCACTCTGTGTTTAGTATCCCTTGATGGACTTTTAATCTATCCATTTGTAAATTACTTCTGAACCCACCTAAAAAGGATACTTCCATAGCATCCACAGTTTTACACATTTTGTGAAAAAGTACTTTGTCTTGTTTCTTTTAAACATGGTGCTTTTTTTTTTCATGTATTATGAGAAATTATGAACACTGGCTCTAGAAGAGTATCTTTTATTAAAGTATTTCTCATGGATAGTGTTTCAAGCAACTGTTCTATAAAAATGACTGATTTTTACATTGTTAGAGCCAATCTGTATCAAAAGCAGTCATGATCATACGTTACTACAAGATTTTGTTTGTTTATTTGTTTTCTATGTGAAGACAGAATTGTGCAGGTGGGACATAACTTCCAGCACACAGTAACTTTCCTGTGATAGCACAGGTGGCATTGCATACACGGCAAGTCCCTGCTGGACTTAAAGCCATAAGGCAAGGTATTAACAAGTGGCATGAACTATAAATTCATTAGCATATTTCCATTTTACATTACACTAGAACATCATGTTATTATTTGAACCTTGAAGATACCCAACACCTGGTCTTTACATGTTATTAACAATTCCTATCAAGTAATTTCCTAATACAATCCTAAAAACAGTGTATTCGGTCCTTTCAATTTAATAAGCTTCCATATGGGAACATTTCTGGTTAATACCTTAACATTGTTTTTACTTACAATGCCACATTACTTACAAACTTTGCTTATGTCAAGCATTAAAGATTTTCTTCAAGGAGGGCCTGGGGGAAATCTGTGAAATAGTCAGCTGTAGAGGACATCAAACATCATGTAACTGCCTTCTAGTGAATTTGCCTATAAGCTCTCTGTATCAGATAGAACTTTAGGCCACATCCAGTTCCTCTATTATTAAATGCAACTTGTGAGAGGTAAATCTGAAAACTTTTATCTTTGCATGTCTCCTACTTGCATGTCACCCTTCTTCCTTTCTTCCCCTTTCAACATGAGAGGATGCTTAAAGGTGAAGTCCTGGCTTTTCTCAGCATTTCTTTGAAACTCTCTAAAAATAGGGGGAGAAAAAGACATTTCTGCATTTGCTGGTACATGATATACAAGCTAAGTTCTTGAAATGGCCAGCTGCCATCAGACATGCTGACGTACTGCGTCATTACAGCACTAGTCAAGTTCTTGTACTATTCAAAATTCTCTACCTCATTTCAAACTTCTCACTGCTTTTTGTATGGGATTGGAGAGAGGTGACATAATCTCTTGTGTAGATGTGGCAAGCTAAACACATAACCTATATAGAGTAAGGTGCTCTACGGGTATGAAACAGGGACCAGTTGAGAAAAGTACTTCTGAATTCATGGTGACTGTCAGACTGACAGTCCTTTGTTTAGGGAAGCAGAACAGTAGCAAATTATGTTCAGGCTCATTAGTTTATAAGAGAACTGAAGGAAGCTCTGTTTGTTTACTGGAGTGAGTATCTTTTACTCCAAAACCTTACTTGAGTTTCCAATGCAATCAGACTAGTTACCTGGGTTACATAATTACACAAGCGCGCGCAGTATGGGGTCTAATAAAAGAGGTGAAGCTCTTTTAGTTTCCTTATGAAATCTGTGTGGGATTTGCCTGGGATAAAATTCCCCAGAACCCTTTCTATGAACATTCCTCAAATTTTACCAAGTGTGAGCTGACTGATGACAGCCTTTTAAAATGCCTTATGTATAAACTTTCTTGAAAAAAGCACGCATTTCACGTAGAAGATGGATATCAATGAGACTATATTGACTGCCGTAGGGAGTGAAACAGAAATATTTGTTACTTCTCTGTTCAGAATAATCCTGATTAAAGTGTTAATATGCTTTTTTATTTATTTTCTCTTGTGGGGAGAAATATTTAACATAAAGTAACTGGAAATTCATCTATGATGGAAGTAGTAATTCAGTTATGAAACAAAGATCAGACTATTTGAATCAACTTCAGTCTGACATTGATTTCTTTACCTTGACATGGCCTTATCCAGCACAGTTTGAAATATAATACTGCATTGAAAAGCTGCAGTGGATTTTTCACTTTTTGGGGTTTTTTTCTGTTTAGCCAGAAATCTGATGGTGATATGTATTACAAGCTATCTATACACTATGGAACATAAATCTAAGCTTCTTTCAGGGCAAAAGGATAAGGTTTGTTTTACAGGTAGGCAGTGTATAAAGAGCTGAAAGCTGAATTAAGAAAACTGACGACTCCTGGAATTCTCCAGATTTAGCTTACACTGATACAGAATAATCATTGCATTGATCATCTGATTGTTGTCTAAACCCAGTTTACATCAACCATAACTTCAGCATCAGTTTTTGATCTACTGTAATTGTGGTAACATCCTATCTGTAGTGATTGGATCAAAACAGGTATTTCCAGGCTTATTTGAATGGGTTCTAATAAAATAAAATGGGATTGGTTTGTATCCTACATATTACGTGGTGGTCTTTTTTAATTTTTTTTCTCTGACAAACTCTACAGTTTCAGAATAGTCCAGGTAATCCTGGAGAGTTACTAATGTCAGGAATGAAGCCAGTGTTCTTTGTTCTTCTGACTATGCCACAGGCTTGTACGTGTAGCTGCACTACAGCTCTAAAGTCTCCTCATCCCTTTTTCACCTCTTGACGTTCAAAGACGTACACATTTACTTACTGGTGAGGATCATAGACCTTTTTTTTTCTTCCACCCATATTTGTAGCTCTTCCTTTTTTAAATTTTTTTAATTTTTTTTTTTAAGTTGACTGTATTTAACACTTGACCAGCCTACGTCCCACTTGCTTTTCTCATCCTCCTTAGCCTTTTCATTCCTTTTAAATTAATTGTCTCTTTGTGGGGGGGGGGGGGAAGCAAATCTGCTCCTTTACATGCTTGAAAACTCTATTGAAATGGTAATTGGCCTTTTAAGACTGGAAAGTATTCTGGGTATTCTAGTTGAGACCAGGTGTTGTTTGAGAGAGATGGTGAAAGAGACAGATATGCCTCCCTTACCTGATAACATTCATTCTTATTATGTTCATTAACCTACTAGTTATATAAGACAAATCACATCTGTAAACTGCAACTTGGATATAACATTACTTACCCCCTGTGAACAATGTAAGTAGCCTTGATCTTACTTCAGCTTCCTTTTTATCACTTAATTTTTCAAATGTGTCATTGATAACAGTTGCTTTCTGTAACATCCTAAATAGCCATCATGGTTTCTGATGTCTGTGCTCCAGTTTTCTAATGATTTTTTTCTAAAAGGACTGTATTTCATCCTGGTTCTTCTGAGTTCCCCTGCTGCTTTTGGCACTGCTGAGCATGCCCTCAGTCTTGAAAGTCAAGGAAGAGGATTGTTCCTTTGATATTTCTCTTTTATCACCTCCATCTCTCCCATGCCCCCCTTTCCCAGAACTCTATCCCTGACCCCTTGTTCCTTTCTTCCTACTCTCACAGATCTAATTTTTTCAAATTTACTTCTCCATATCTGGCCTCTCTTTATCTTGACAAAATCTTCCAAATACATTTCCATGACCTAAAAGATCATGGCCTTTTGCGTGTTCCTATTCCTTTATCTTCCCGATGTTTCTCTTTTTCAAGTACCTCCATGTTCGAGGGTTTCCTAAGTTTCCAGCAGTCTCCACAACAATATACCCATTCTCAAAGGACATTTTTTTATTTAAAAAAAAAAAAAGAAAGTAATTTTAAATTTTCTCTTCAGTTAAATTAGGATCTACCCTTAGTCATTTACTGGCCTCAAAATTTAGAAGACCTATCCTGGACAGTCTAACAGCTGTCATTTATCAATGATTTGGGAAACTGACCTCTGCATCTCTTTCCCAAATATAGTTTGCACTTTGAAAGCTCTATTTTTTTAGTGGCAAATATCTGAAAGATGTGTAAATTGCATTTTGCTTCATCTTTTATGCTCTTTGTCAACCTCTGGTAGACATTATGGGGTGGGGCTTGTTGGGATCCCCTGTCTCCATGTTGGAGTCAGTAGAAGCCCTTTATGCAGCTGTAAGGGATTTCTAAGATGCCCTTTCTTTGGGCAGTGTTCTGCCTGCTAGGCAGAAGCAAAAGATCAGATATGGCACTGCCTCATGTCTACAGGAAGCATGACAGGACACACCTGGGTGTCTCACTGAGAACTTCCACCTCTGTTGGCTTTAGGGCAGCTACTGGCCTATAGCCCAACCACTGCATTCAGCATCCTGTCAAGACTCAGGAGCGACCTGATACCAGGTCAGTCTATCATTAAAGAAAAAGTCCTCTCACCAAAATCTTAGTCTCCAGAAAGGTGAAGGGCCTGTTCTCCACTGCCTGGAAAATGTGAACATACACTTAAGAAAGTAAAATGTCACTCCTATCTTCAATAAGGTGAAGGGAAAGGATCCATGGAAGTACAGGACAACTAGCCTCACCTTGGTTCTTGGTGAAGGTGATGGAGCAACTAATTCTGGAAACCATTTCCAAGCACATGTAGGACAAGAAGGTGATCAGGAGTAGTCAGCATGGATTACAAAGGGGCAATCACAGAAATTGTGCTTAACCAGCCTGATAGGATTCTACAATGAGGTGACTAGCTTGGGGGGTAAGAGGAGAGCAGTGGATGTTGTTTACCTCGACTTCAGTAACGTTTTTGACATTGTCTCCCATAACATACTCATAGACATGCTGACAAAGTATGGGTTAAGTAAGTGGGCAGTGAGGTGGAAAGAATACTGTGTGAACCCCTAAGTGATACAAAACCCAGTTGGAGGCAAGTCACTAGTGGTGTATGCCAGGGGTCAATACTGGAGCCAATACCATTTAACATCTTCATTAATGACCTGGACAATGGCAGAGAGTGCACCCTCAGCAAATTTGCAAATATATAACTGGGAGGAGTGGCTGATACACCAGAGGGTTGTGCTGCTGCCATTCAGAGGGACCTCAACAGGCTGGAGAAATGGGCTGACAGGAACCTCATGAGGTTCAACAAGGGAAGTGCAAAGTCCTGCACCTGGGAAGGAACTGGTCCCATGCACCAGTATACACTGGTGACAGACCAGTTGAGAAGCAGCTCTGCACAAAAGACCTTTGGTCCTTTGAACATGAGCCAGCAATGTGCCCTTGTAGCAAAGAAGGCCAACAGCATCCTGGGCTGGTTTAGGAAGAGGTTTGCCAGCAGGTCAAATGTGGTGATCCTTCCTCTCTATTCAGGACTTGAGACCACACCTGGACTACAGTGTCCAGGTCTGGGCTTCCCAGTACAAGAGAGATATGGAGCTACTAGTGAGAGTCCAGTGAAGGGCTATGAAGATGATTAAGGGGTCGGAGCACCTCTCATATGAGGAAAGGTTGGGAGAGCTGAGACTGTTTAGTCTGGAGAAGAGAAGACTCTTAACATTGTGCGTAAATACCTAAGGAGGGGGGCGGGGGGGGCAGGGGATGAAGGGGAGAGAGAGAGACTCTCCTCCCTAGTGCCCACTGACAGGACAAGAGGCAATGGGCTCAAATTGAAACACATGAAATTCCATTTGAACACAGAAAACACTTTTTTACCATGAGGGTGATCAAACACTGGAACAGGTTGCCCAAAGAGTCTGTGGAGTGTCCATCCTTAGAGATATTCAAAACCCAACTGGAGACGGTCCTGCACAACTTGGTGTAGCTAACCGCCTTGGAAAGGGGGGTTGCACTAAATGATCCCAAGAGGTCCTTTTCAACCTCATGACTTTGTGATTCTGTGATTCTGTAACACTGTCTATACATATTATAGGTGGAAACCTGCTAGAAGAATATTAACTGATGATAGTGGAAAGAGTACATCCTTAATTTTGGGAGGAGACACTCCATTATAAAGTTCTAGCCACACCAATTCTTTCAGAACCCTTCTGTTTAATACTAAACAATTGGGGGATTCAGATGGAACTTAAAACAGTGAGAATCAACTGTGAAAATGCTATAACATGAAAAACAGCCCATATGTATGAATTACTAGTATTACTACTTTTTGATTTATGCTGGATATCGTGAAGATTATGTTATTATGACTTTGCAGAAGGAGCATACACCTCGAATTTAGGATATTAAATCCTGTATCCTGTCTGGATACAGGATGGAAAGACAAGGTGATAGTACAAGAAACTAGAAAGAGGAATGTAAGGGGCTATAATAGACAGGCGATGTATTGACTGATGATGTATGATAGATAACAATTGTGTGCATGGTAAGGAGGGAGCTGTGAAGTGAAAGATGAAGAGTAATGTTGTGTAAGAATATTTTTTTGAAAGATGTAGATCCGAATCTCTCAAAGAAGAAAAATGAGAGTTCTGTTGTATAGCATGAAAAATGTTGAACTAGAAAAAAGTGCAAAGTTTTGTCTTGCATCCAAAGGACCATTGCTTTTAGAACTCATGAAAGAAAGTGAGTATATATAATGTCCATAATATGAGAAAGGAGATTCAAAAATATCTGTACGGCTGAGTGGGGCTGAACTCATTTTCTGAGGAAATGACTAACCTACTCTTGGGTACAGAGCTTGGGGTTTGGAGAGCATTTCAGCTGAAGTATTGTCACAACCTGTAACAGAAACGAGCTACTTACCTGAATATCTTGACTGGGGATCTCCATCATGATCAGTACAAATGGAACATTGCCAGGCTTAGGGAGACTGCTGAAAAAGAATTTTTAAAATGGACTTTGTATTCAATTTTTTTCAGGCAAATGGGAATCTACATAGCTTTATGTAAAAGCTCTTCTTCTGTGTAGGCTAAACACTACGCTACTTTGAATCTCTCAGTTTATAAATATAGAGAAATCTGTTTTGTCTGCCTTTTACTATTTTTTCTTCTAGCTGAGGTCTAGCTGAGGAAGCACAAGTAGGTAAAACTGGAAAAAGGAAATTGAAGATGACTATTTACCGACAATCGTTACAAGGCAAAGCTGTACTAACAGCTTTATCAATTAGATGGTTTTTATTCCTAGAAGCCCTGTGTATGCCGGCTTCTTTCTAAACGTTGAAGAAAGATTGTGCCTGAGTAGCAGATCTTAGCAATCTAAAGTCATATTGACAGCTAATGGTTAAGGCAAATAACACTAGGAAACTTATTCAGAGAATATTAAATTATAAAAATGTCAGATAAATATTTGACTTTATACGTATAAACATATATTCCAGAGGTAAATTTGTTACACTTTGCTTGTTTTGTTCTATTTTGTTTTGTTTAGATTTTTGGCTATTTCATAGGAGAAAGTGATGCCCTGTCTTCCCAGCTGAGAGAAGAAAACATGGTTTTCCTTGTATCTGAAAAACAGCAGATTACTCATGCAGGTGACATACTTCATCTTGTATCCAAAACTAATTTTTTTTATGATGCTGTATGTTGCACACTTTATTGAAAGTACAGTAATAAGATCTCATGTCTGTCTTTGCTTATTATTCATGCTTCTTCTTCTTCTTATGTGTTCCAGAAAATGTTTTTTTACTAAACTCATTGCGTCTGAACACTCCACTGCTGCCTTGCCCAGTTATCCATTTTCCTAAATTATTTTGAAATTATGAATTTGTCTGACTCACACTATTTATTTATGCAGTTATTCTTTGTCTTTCCGTATTTTTTAAATAATGTAGAAAGAATAGTACATCCATCATGCATTAATGATATTTAAAAATGCAACATGATTATTTAAATCAAGTATAGGATAATCTATGAAATAATGCATTACTGCCTTGGAGTTGGTACAAATATGCATTTCAGGAAGAGAAAATGTTCTTGCTATTATGGTTCTATTTGTTTAGATTTTCTGTGTCTGTAAGATGAAGAGTAATATTTTGTCATTGACAGTTGTCAAGAGACAAGATGTGATTAAGGGTATAGTGAAGGTGCCCCATCTGGATTTCACAGTAACATCCTCTCAGAAAGGAGTTCTAACTATTTTTAACAACCAGGTAATTCAGACTCAAACAAACTTTTTTACTATTCTATTAGGCAGTATATATGGGAACCAAGTGAACTGTGATCTAGCATGCAAACTTACCCCAAAAAAGAGCTAAATATCTTTTTTTATTAAAGTTAACTTTTTCTATATTTTTAAGTACAGTAGGAAATACACATTGTTATTTGCAATTATAAACCTACTGAACGGTCCACAGAAGTTGACAGAAAGTAGAGATGGCTAATAAAATACATTCTTAACAGAAGTTAGTTTAATAGAAAATAATCTGCATTTCTTTTTAGAAAAAGCTTCCCTTAATATAGAATATGCTATTGGAATTAACTTTTGCATATACAGAGGAAACCAGAGAATTAACTGTTTTCTACAGCTACTGAGAATATCTAGAATGGACAGAAACATTTATCAGCTGTTTGCATGAAGAGTTATTCAATACAGCAACATCTAGACGCCTGAAAGTCTTGAATTTTCTGACAGGCTGCATGACACTGCCTCACAGTTACTCCCCTCATCAGCAAAGTGTAAGGAGATCTGTACCATTTTAAGTAGAACTTCAGGCTCAAGATGCTGTTAAAGTAGAATTTGTAAATGAGTCTCCCAGATGATTATATCACTATTTAGAGGTATGCATTTCTAGATGCTATGAGGTTCATCACACATCTATGCTCATTGGCACTTTACATTAGTACAATTTTAATACAACCAGTTTATTAAAAATTGTTTCAGACAATGCAGTAAAGCTTTAAAGCAGCATTAATGCTTTCTAGGGGTTTCAGCTAATTAGTGCATAATACTTACGCCAAGAGCATGTAAAGCAAGAAAGGACTCCTGTGGATGATTAAATAACAAAGCAATACTGCAGTTTTGGTAAATACTGAAATAATTTATTTGAAAGCCTAGTTTTCTGTCCTCCAGAGCATTATCCCTCTTACGTACCTATGAAAAATAATTTCACAAAGTATAATGTTAAAAATAGCTCTCTTCCCCACCCCCCACCTCCCCATGCTGTTTTCAAGTTGAATGGCTGCCTCCTCATAGACTGGACTGATGTCACTCTGACATCAGTGACTGCAGTGTAAATGATTTTACACCCAGCTGCTTAACGCAGTGAATTAGAGACCTGAAATTTCACTTACAAAACTGTACGTTCTGAAAATGACTAAGGCATTACGACAGCAGTCATTTACTCATGATATGACCTCTGATCTCAGTTGATATGAGCAAATGAATTTTGACTTCATTAGAATTGCTCTGATACATCTTGATGCAAGGAAGAGAAAACTCTAGTTCTTGAACATTGCAGTCGTTTGAGTCCTGTTGCTAGAGTATCACTTCACATCACAAAGGCAAATACAGAGTTGGCACCTTTTGCATCATTCTTCTTCTCTCAGAGACCAAGGATTTAAAGAGACCTGGCCTTAAAAATCTCAGCTAGTGAGTTGTTTTGTCTAGTTTGGCTTTGCAGCATATTGGTAAGTGAATATGAAGATGCTTGCCCTGGAGGTGCTGCTTGGTGGGACTTGTGCTCTGGGTGAAGGGGCCAAAATATGAGTTCATGAGCAGTGCATTGACAAATAGACAGAGGCTTATTTTTGTATAATTGTTGCATTTTTAAAGTGCAGATTACTAAACATATGGTGTTCTTGGATGCACATATATCCCACAGAAGTCAGTGTGTTCCATGTACATGTATGAATAATATTTGGTCTGATATAATTAGTGCATCTAATATAATACAGAATTTAACTGTGCCACTTCTGGGGCATTTGACTGGGGCAGTAAGAAACATACATGTGGGGGAAGAGACAGGGCCATATTCTATTCTTTCACCCTGGTGTAAATTGATGTCCAGCGCAACCAAGCTTTCCACAAGATCAGCTTAGTATTATTCTCTTTGCTCTTTGGAAAGCAAATATAACTTGACAATTTCCTTAATGGTTGTGTTATATCCTTGGAATCAGTTGACAATCTAGACAAGTTTTTATTTGATACTGGGTAGAAACTGAGAATAGTTAAAAACTTACCCCCCCCCAATTTACAAATAAGAATAGGAACAATAAAGAGGTTGCAAACTGTCACACAGCTTGTTGATCTATTAAACTTCTGTTAAATAAGAATTAATCCGATTTTTTATCAGCAAATAATTAGTGTCAGTCATGTTAGATGGCATTAAGAATGCTTAATTTAGTCTGTATACATCAGGACAGCTTTCAAAATCATCTCCTATTTCACCAGTGACAGGCTTCCATCATCCACTACATAAATTGCTAGTGAATCTAATTATTGTCTAAAAGAGGGCTTGGAGACTTTTGTTAACCCTGGTTGCTGTGATAAGAAATTCCATGTTCTCTTACATATCTGCAGCTATCGGAAATTGAAGTGAAGGCAAAGAAATATTTATTTGTAGACCAGCAAGTTCTCTATTTGAGGACTAAGCATTGCTTTCTGCAACAAATGTGGACCTAATATGCTTCAACACCTGTATGCAGCTCTGCATTATTAGCCATTTCCTGCTTACTCTAGAACATGAGACAGGTAGTCACCCTTCTCAGGATCTCAGACATGGATGCTGACTTGATCAGCACAGAAAGCCTGCAGGAGTAGGCAGCCTTATGGAAAATTCTCTGTGCACGCTCTAGTTAATGTTACTGTAGCCAAAGCCAAATCTGGTAACAGTGAGTGGATATTAAACTCTTGATTAACAATAGTTTTAAACTCTGCTCAAAGACTGTCCATGATTACACTGGGCATCACACTTCTATGGGGAGAAAAACTTTGATCCTAGCTTCTTGGTTTATGAAATGTGGAATTGCTGGGATGGGAATGAGGCACCACTGATTTATTACTGAAGATGAGCAGTGGCAAGAGGAGGTGAAAAAGCAGCTGTGGGTGTTTCAGATGGGAAAAGGTTGAAAGTGCTTTTGAAAACTGAATAGTAGTTTTGTTAAAGGACAGGTGAAGGTGACCCTGTCTCTACTGGATGATGGTGACAGGTATGCCTACCACTCTGTGACTTTAAACACTTCAGTTTTTGAGTCACATGCTACGCTGTCCACCAATAGTTAACTTTGCTGAAAGATACTGTACCAATATGGGTATTCCTATTTGCAGCCTAACGTGCCACCTCTACCTGGTATTTTGCTGGCACTAGTTGACATGTCATCTGGGCCAGCATTAGCTTGGGTTTCTGTATGCCACATCCTAGCCCTTACAGGAGCTCTTCTAGCTGTGAAGGACCATTAGAAGCACAATTCCATGAGAAGAACAGCTGATCTGTACTCCACTGTAAAAAATGGGTATTTTTTTACTTATTTTGCTCACTCCAACATCTCAATTTAAAAAAAAAACAAACAAACAACAAACAAACAATGAAACAACTGTGAGAGAAAGAGGGGGTTTAAGTTCCTCGCTATATATAGGGGAACAGACAGTAGGTAGGTTAAAGATCTTTCTCAGAAGATCTTAACCTCGAACTCTTTCTGTTGGCTATTATTGTTCTGTTCTGCCTGTGATACAGGAGAACAGACTGTGTTCAGACTTTTAATTCAATTGCTAACTTTTTATTGTGACAACATTTTTTTTTTTCAGATGACGGTTCTGGCAACCACCAGTGTTGAAGTAAGTTAATTTTCCTCCTTCTGTTAACTCATTTGAATTAAAAATCAGCAGGTACTAAAGTGAAATAATTAGAAGCTGAGCATTATTCTAATGCTACTTCCAACCTTGAGACTTCTGCATAATTTGGCATAGGGTGCCATAGGTCAAACAGATTCAATTTATTCCTTTCAGTCATAGAAACAATTGGGTAACTTGATTTTTTTCATCTGATAAAAAGAAACCTCAGACAAATGCTGCTTTTTCTACCAAATTGTCCTTTATCCATTACCTTTCCAGAATTTTTTCTTCTAAGTTCCAACACTTCAATTGTCACTGTAAAATTTAAATAAGAAAAATTATAAGTTCGTTAGTGAAAAACAGTTCTACATCTTGCTAGGTAGATTGGTTGGCTACACAGTATATACTTTAAAAGCTCATTTTTACCCTGGGAGTATCACTGCAGATTTTAGGTAATGAGCTTCCTTCAGATGACCTGCAGACAAGAGAACTGTCATCAGTCTTAACAAAGTGACATGACCCCTTGCCCTAAAAGTCCGTGTAGGTATCTTGTGCCAGGCGGCACTTTGTTATTATCTCTCACATATTGTGGATGTTCTAAGATGCAATAGAAATACTTCAGACCACAGGCCCTACTACTCCAACTCAGAAAACAGCTCTGGGCCTGGGTTGCATTTAATTTGTTGCAAGGATTAATCTGACCTGTGGAATCAATGCAGAGAGGTAAACTGTGAGAAACATTCTGGGACCTATCAACTTCTGGAAATTTTGACTAGAATCAGCTTAGAGCTTCTGCTACAGCTGTGTTATAGAAGTGAATTTCAGTAGTTTGTTCCTGCTTTGATTGTAGGAACAACCTCCCCAGTCCAAATATGCCAAGGCAGGATGAGAACAATGTTTGGTGCTTTTCCCTGGAGAAGCCAAGGGGAAGAAGGTGGAGCGCCAGCCTGATGCTGCAGTGGGCAGTATGCAGCTGCAGGGTCTTCTTCCTCTCTGAGCACTAAGCACTAATCTTAGAATGATTCCTCAGTGGATGTGGAGGTCTTTTTTCTGTGGCAGTAGGACGATACTTGGCAGCCATGGCAGAATTAGGCACCGTCGAAGGACATCTCTGCCATAAAAACTGTGAAAGGAGGATGTGTTTAACATAATGGTTTAGGGGTGGACTTGGCAGTGTTAGCTTTACAGTTGGACTTGATGATCTTAAGGGTCTTTTCCAACCTAAATGATTCTATGATTCTAGGATTCTATAAAGGTATCTCTCAGTATTATTGTGTAATACCATAATTGTTAGGACTGTGATTCCAAACAGATACAATACCAAAACTCACAGTTTTAGTATCCACAGATAACACTGTTTAGTATCTGTGAGCACCCACTTCTGTTCAGCTCTGCACCAGATCTGTGTGGCCTAGCCTGATCTGCTGTCTCTGTTGTCATGTGCCACTCTCCCATCCTTTCCCAGCTGACATGTTCCCACGTTTTCAACCTTCCCTAGGAAAAGTAAGAAGTAGGTTAGAAATAGTTTGGATTCCTCCCCCTTGGGATGGAGGATCATTGCTGCTTGGGATCACTGGATCAGTTGGGATCATTACTGTTGAACATGATGGTCTTGACCACAGGGAGTAAAGTCTTTCAGGGGAAAATCTTTGGCTTCCCAGGGACATTTATTTACTGGGGAGCTGATGGTTAGTGAAGAGAAAAGAGAAACCTATGCTCTCAAACTTATAAAATCCTTCTGGCTCTGTGTCTGAAAGATTTAATGGTAATTTGTGATGTCATGTTACTTTGTTGTTGTTGTTATATTCACTTTTTTGGTATCAGAATTGTGAAATTTTCAGGTGGTCTAGCTAAAAATGACCCTCTTCTGCTTCGTGCTCTGCCTTGTCTTAGGGAATAAGCGATCTTATTTAACATTCTTATTTAAGTGTTTGCACTGAACAATCTTGTCCTTAGCCAATTTACTTTATTCTCATCCTTCCTCTAAATACTGCACTGAAAATAGAATTAATATAGCTATTACTGGACTTGAGGTTGAACTTTTTGATGGTTGTTAAAAGATTTTCATGTTTGCAGAACACAATATGTTAAGATATTTTGTTCTTAAAATGGAAATTCTATATCCTTATCCCAAATCACAGTGAAATAAAATTCCGGATTGTTTTAAGAGAATAAATTCCACTTTCCAGGGAGTTGAAATATATGATGCTATTAAATTTATTAACCTGGGAATTCTCTGAGAGATATATCTCTAGAATTGGGTTGGGTTTTTTATTTTAAAGTATGCTTATTAAAACTGAAGCTTTGCATTTTAATAACTTTTATCTAAACACTTTTAAAAATCAAAGGCCAATATCTTACATGAGTGTAAATCATCAGCCACCCTTATTAAAGATATGGTGAACTATACTAGTTGAAGATCTCAGCACCAAATGGTTATAATGTACAACTATGAATAACACCTTATGATTAATTTCTGAATAGCTAAAGAAGGAAAGCTGCCTTTGCTTTGCAGGGCTTACATTTCTCTTTTCCAGGTCTGCAGAAATAACAGTCCATTCTTTTCTCACTGCAATTATTATGTCATCTTCATCTGTTTTAACATCATCGTCAGTGCTGGCACTAGCTAATCGATCAGGCTATATATCTGTAGGTATCTTCGTGCAAATGAAGTAAGGTACTGAATTCAGAGATAACTTATCGGACTCCAAACCTACCATCCATTGATAAACAATGATGTTTGTAGAGGGTGGTTAACAAATTGCAGAATAATCCTTAGGTTCCTTTACCCTCTACCATTTAGTGTTCTCATTCTTAAGGTGTTTCAGAACAGAGATTTACTCAACCAGAGCAACAGAGGTCTTGGCCCTGAGGATATTGACCCAGAAAGGCTGTGAAACACAGTAGTTCTAGGAATAAAATCCAGTGGATTGCAGCCATCAGAACTTTCCCAGCATCATGATGAAATAAACAGAACATGAACTATGAGTAAAGATCATTTACTATTTTGTTCCAGGGATGTTATGTAGAACAGGTCACTTCAAGAAAACCTGATTTCATTTCTTGATGAGATTGTGTGACTGAGTGAAAAGAATAGAGGCATAAATATAATACACTTAAAACTCTGTATAGTATTCAACTTCATACCATGTGACTTTCTGATTTAAAATATGACCACTGAAAAAAACACTAGAGTGCATGTTAAATGGATTAAGAATTGTCCAACTGACAGTAGTTAGCATAGAATCATCATTGAATGATGATGGGAATACTGGTTGTGAACAAGTCACTTCTCTTGAAGAACGGAAATGAAATTACTTTTAAATATAGCATAGGAAAGCATAAACAGACCCAGTAGATGAGCCAGACAAGCTGAAACAGAAATTGTATTGGAAATGAGGGAGTGAAGATAGAGCCCTTGAGTGACAGGATGGAACAAGGAAATAATGAAAAGGTTGATCTGGTGCAGCCGCCTGGTTTGTTGGTCAAGTACTGCAGTGCTAAGAAGAGAAATTCTTATAGCCTTTGCTCTAAAGCTGGAACATTTTGCTTATAGTCTCTGGCAGACTGTTCTCTTCTATCAGCCACTTCTCAGTGTATCAAATTGATCTATTAATTTGTGCATTGCTTTCTTCAGAACTTTCATACTATTAGTTTCTGAGTAGTCTCAAGCCACACTAGGAGCCTGTTTTGGTCAAGAACTTTCATTTTGGACAACAGAGCACCATGCTCTGGTGTTTACACAGCCTGTTTATTCCACAGGCTGAGGTCTTTGAACAAGAACTGGCCTGGAAGGCAGTGCTAGCTGACTTGAACAATCTCTCTGTCTCTGTTAGCCTCTAAACTTCTCAGTGGACATTCTCTGGACCATGCTATGAGGAAGCCAAACTCAGTTATTATAGTGGTCTCTCCAGGCCTTTATATCCACTGGTCTTTGGTGTAATTTAAGTAATTTCACTAGCATTATTAAAGGCAAATTTAGTGCAATTTGTCTTAAGATGAGGATCTTTCAGTTATATACATGAAAACACTTCTATTGCTGCCTGTTCCAGGAAACTTCAATTTCTCTATGCTGGATCTTTCCCTGACTGGGAACTTCTAATAAACTGGTGCAATAAACACATTTTTTTCTACTTTTGCTGTTATGTTATCAAATATGACTGTGCCTATAAATAAGGCAAAAGGAAAGAAGAGGATAAATCTGGAGTATGTTTTACTAATTCTTGCTTTCTGCTGGCATATACAGATTGCACGTCATGTGTTGAAACCTGATTTTTTCAGATACTCTTTTAGACTGCCAGTCAGTAATTAGAAATATTTATCTTCTATTGAGAGGAGAATCTTACAAGAGAAATTCTGTCTTGGTTGAAGTCTTTGGCCAACATTTTCCTCCTGTTGGAATGTTCATTGCTTCTCTACCTGTGTCTTTCTCCTTTCACTCAAAGTTCATTGCAGTTCAGACGCTGTAAGGAAAATCTGAATGTGTACACCGTATGGTTTTGTTTGTATGTGTATTAGACATAAGTTGATGTATAGATCTTGTAAAAAAAACTTCATATGAACACGTTCTTATTTACTCTTCAGACCAGGAGTGGTTTTAATGCTTCTTAGGTTGTAATTTCTGTCAGTTTTTCCCTCCTTTTTAGTGAAATAGTATCTTAAGGATAATCATGTCTCTAAGCCATTAGATGCTACAATACAATGGCTAGGATGCCTCACTGTAAAAGAAAGATCAAGCTCAATTTTACTTGACTGGTTTTTAAATGTTTACTTAACTGCAAGCAGACCTTTCCCGTGATGAATTAGAGTGTAGAGCTGTTCCTATTTAGAGTAAAAACAGTTAGAGCAGAAGGCACATGTTATTCCAACATCTGTTTCCCTTTCACTGCTAATTCTTTATGGGAGTAATAGTCCTCAACCCTATGAGACAAGGATTTTCCCTGAGAACATGCTAAGCATTAAGGTACCTTTATATAGCAATGCATGGGGGTGTGTTCCTTGTTTCATTTGCCTAGGGACTAACTGCTGCCGAGTTCTTGTTTGACAGTCTGATTTTCTAGTCACAGATGCTGTGACAAGAGAGGGAAGCTGAAGTCCATGCCTAGCTGAGCTGGTGGCTCAGCATCATTAGCTACATGGAGAGAATAGTGAGGGAGAAACTGATATCCAGAATTGCCTAATAAAACTGGAGCCAAAGTTATCCTGTAGATTGGTGGGAAGCAGAGACTATTAAGGCCCTGTAGAGTGTAAGTATATGGACTAACTTACACTCCAATGTAATTAAGAAACTGACTAAATTTTGTAAAGTTTAGTTGCTTAGTTGTGGAAAGTTAAACGTTTCTCATTTTTCCTGGATGTGAAAGGTTGAATCTCATTTACCTGTGCGTATGAAAATCTAAAATAAATTAATTGACTCCAGCAGCTATATCAGATTTTCAAAGGGGCAAAGGGTCCCCGGCATCTGTTTCTATCATCAGTGAGAAAGGATCTAGCTTTCTCTCTTCAGTTATTCTATCCTGTGGAAAAGGCTCTGACCTCAGCTGAAAGAAAAACTTAAAAGTCTTATTGTCAGGTGCCAGCACCCAGTAAATACCCAGTGCATTTTTACCTGCAGGTAGACATGGGATAAGAAGAAAAAGACAAGACTTCACAGAATGTCAAAGAGGTGACCTATAGCTCCTTTAGAAGAAAGCTTCAGGAGAGTAGACTTTGATAGTAGGCCTTGAGGCAGAGAGGTTAACAGAAAACATTTGCTCTTTGAGACATTTAAAGAAACTTGTCTGGAAACTGGAAACATGCTGGACATGTGAACATCATTGTTCTAATATTTTGCTTAATTCCTCTGTTAGAATTAGTAAATTGTGGCCCAAGAGAAGAGTATCCCCTGCCAGCCTGAATGACAACAGCCATTTTCACTCTGTCCTATGTTCTCAAAGTATTTGAATTTGACTATCAGTATGGGAAAACAGAATAGTAGCCTTAAGCTAATATGCCTAAAAGACGTTTAAGTATGATGAAGACGTTTCCCTTGAGTTGCCAAGTTAATCTCTAGCCTTTCCCACTCATTCTTCCTTAAAATGTTATCGGACATCTGACTTTCTTCTGTCTTCCAAGATTATTCTCACAGATTAACTGAGTTTTTTCTCCCAACTAGGTGAGAAATACTTGGTGTTCAACTGGGATAAGTCCCTTCTCAAGGCATATACTGACTGAATTGGAAAGATTCAGTTACCAGGGCAGCATATATAGGCGATAGAACTTTTCATGGGAGGGGGGCATTTGATCTGTAAATAAGGACTAGTCACGCCTTCTCAGATCACTGTCCTGTAATGTGATTTGTTTTGTTTAATTGTTTCAAAGTAATATCAGAGATTCTTGGTTGTATTTCTAGGCAAGTATATGAAATAAAGTTTTTTGTATCAGTGTTTTAAGTCCTTTCATCAGGGCTTGTTTTATTGCCTGAAATTCAACTACAACACAAAAAAGAAAGCAAAGGGACATCTATCCCTTAGACTTTCTCTGTAAGCAGTCAAGTGCAAGGATTCTCCTTACTGCTTGCTTTTGATCTTCCTTTTGCCTCTATACCATCTCACTACGTGATAGCCTGCAAAACCTTTGCAAGATGCAGCTCTGTTACTTTGACTGCATCATAACAAAACAGCACTACAAAACAGTAGCTTAATTACAAATGTAAAACCAGCTTTTTCGTATCAGTTAGTCATTGTTATCTGACACTATTGTAAGGACTCCAGAAAGCCACAGATAATAAAGTCTTCTGTAAGAATTACCAAGCAAGCCATAAAGCCCCTGCAGGACTGACATTTTCCATGTGTTTATTGTAGAAAGCAGCACAAGAAATCCTTTAAATGTATTACCACTTGCCTACAGGCCATTAGGAAGGAAAGAAGCTTTCTCCTGCAACAGAGTGTTGACATCACTCTGTCAGAATTTTGGACCATTCACACTAACAGCAAAATCAATATTGTGTACAACAATGGAAATAAAAGTAGAAGCATCAGCAGCTGTCTTGAGTTCACCATGGATTTAGTCTTGTGCTTTTTGCTTCTTAACTCACTTTGTGGATGTAAACTGTATCTTTAGCAACATAGGTCCCTGTTTTAGCTGTTTATCAAGTACTTCCACTGGAACTGGTTTTTAGAGGTTACAGGTAGGTATAGCTTACTTGAAGAACTGCCAAAAAAGTGTGGTTTAAGTCTGTGTCAAATGTTTCTTTGTCACTTTAATCTAGAAAAGAAAGTAAGATGTTTCAGTCAGTGTTATTTTATAGATGTTCTGAATTATTTTAAAATAATAGATAATTGTGCCATTGCAGACATAACAAAAACCACCCTGTCTTTCAATAGGTGAACTTAACACAGAAGAAAGATAAATGTAAAAGCCTATATAATAAACTGTGAAATAAGATTGCTGAAATAAGATTTTTAAAACTTACCGAAATGGAAATGAAACGGAGCATATTCCATTTCAATCCTGCTCTCATTTAGGAAGGTCCACTACATTTTGGGGAAAAAAAATCAAACAGCTATTAATGTTTCAACAAAAAAAGCCCAAATTCTGGCCAGTATAGTAATGAATTTGAGTCCCTAATTGCAACTCACTTTGCAAGAGAAAGTATTTTACATTAAGATCTGTATAACTGCAGGTATACTTGAAAGATGGCGTAATATGGGCAGATGTACTGTAAATCTTTGTAAATATTTGATCTATCTATTAGGAGAATTAAAATTATTTAATACAAGTTACTTATTTTCATAAACATTCATTTCAGTAGAGTTTGTGCTATTATAGCTGAATTTTTTACTGCCTTTTAACTTTCTTTTGTTTTGAATTAAACTGTATCCAAGAAAAATTTTAATCTGCATTACCATGGATGTTACAGCTTAAATTTCCTCTGCTCAGAGTGCTTTTTTCAGTGTCATCAAAGTTCAGCTAACAGTGTAGATGTATTGTGTCCTCTCATGTGCAACATCTGTGCATCTGAGGTGAGTCACTGATAACAGAGGTTGAGCCTGGCACCTCTGTAACTTCACGTATGAGCTATTCCTGGAGTTGGAACTCGCAGTTCCATTAGCTGGGGCTGGATCTAGCAGCCGCTAGTACAGAGTATATGGAATTTATGTGGAGATGGTTTAAAATACGTACTTAAATAACAAAGAAGGTTATAAATTTACAGAGAAAATCCTTCTGTAGCTGCCCTTTTTATTTTCATCAGGATACTGCTTGGATCACTGGATGTGATTTCCTACCTCATCTGAAATGTGTCGTGGCTGTAACTGAAAGGACAGTCATCGTCTGGGACTATAAATCAAAAGGGAGTCAGGTAGTATGTTGGATCAGGCAAATGTTAAAGAGGAAGCCTGAAAAAGATTAGTCTTTGTTTTCAATGTACATTCACATTCCTTTTGTCTAACAGGATGAAGGCATTAACTTTTGCCTTTGTAGGAACTCAGTGAAACAGTGGAATTTATACTAAAGAAGGAATACACTTTCCACGCCAAATGGGATTATTAGACTGTCTTAAAAACTTGGAAGAAAGAGGAAAATTTTGTACTGTGTTGCAAACAAACCCCCAAAGAATTTATTTTCTATGTATATCTAATGCATATGTGTGCACATGTATAGCTAATGTGTGTCCATGTGCATATGTATATCTCAGAATCTATTAAGAATCAAGGGACAGGTTTCCCAAGGAATTTAACATAGACTCCTTTGAGGTAACTTCCTGGTTTAAAGAAAATATTTCTTCATCTCCTGCATTTTCTTCAGGACTTTCCAAGAGCAAAAGCATCTTGAGATTGGCAGTGTATGTCCAGTTAAAGTTTTCTTGAATGTCTTATTACAAAATACAATTTTTGCAAGGATTTCTGACCCATACCTTAGATTTTTCCTGCTGTTTCTGGGGCTTTTCTCAGCAATTCTGAGTTGGCTGAGAAGATTAGAGGAAGCAAAGTAAATATTTCAGGATAAGATCAAGCCTTAGGATTTTTTTTTATTGTTCTCAATATTAAAAGTCCTCTCCCCAAGCTTAGACAGGTCAATGGAAGTCTTTCTGTCAATCCAACTGGGCTCCTGGGAAGGAATGCTCAAAAATGTATTCTCCAGTCATTATTCTCCAGGTTTCCTCCAGTCATTACATCAGTGAGAGTTGAAACTGTCCTATGGCTGAATAGGAGCCGTTCGTTCTCTTTTGAGACCACAGGAATAACATATAGACAGTTCTATATCTGTGTTATGTCTCTAATGTTTCTGTGCTACACAGACAACATTGAAGCAGTTAATTCCTATGGCATGTGAACAGTTGCCAGTTTAGGTTGGCAAGGATGCTTTAATCAAAGAACAGATGGAGTCAGGCAGTAGAACCAATAAACTGTATAATGCAGATGACCCAAAATCCTGTTCCCAGGACTTCTCAGTCTAGCAAAATACCACAATGGCTTACAGCTGTATTCATTCCCACTATCTCAATTCCTGAAAATCCAAACACCTGCCCATATAAGTACACTTGGTACTCCCAGGCTGTATTAATAATTAGGACTCCAGTATAATTTTCTCTGTGTGCTACTGCAGCATTTTGTCATTTGAATAATTCTTTAATTTGGCTATTTCCCATTTTCTTGTAGACCGCATCTTATTTTTTAACAGGAAACCATATACAGTCTTAGCAAATATACCATCTCACTTAGCGTGGTGAGATCCTCCCTAAAATTTGTAATTAATATTTCCTCACTGAAATGAAAAAGGCTACCTATGAAATAAAGCCTCACTGAAATCCTTGAAGTTTGCATTTAACTTCAATTGGTGATGATCTTCCATGAGTTTCTAATACGAGGAAACAGCTAGCACAGGGGGAGCTTTGAAAAACAAAGTCAAGAATTGAATGCTGATGTAAGTAGATAAGCATGATGTGTTCAGTCAACTCAAGGGCTCGTGTGCAACGTCTAATAAACTGTCTACCATATTTCACAGAATAATTGCTTTACCATCAAACCAATGGAAAATGGTCTGCTCTGTGTTTGCACGGTGACTATGTCAGATTACCTGGCTGAGGATAATATCCTAATGGGAGATGATAAGGGTTATGTTCACCTGCTTACTGTGACCAGTGATCACTTTGGATTGAAACAATGTAAAGGCAAAAAAGAATCACAACTTCAGGTCTTGGACTCCAAAACTTTTAACATGTAAGTTGCTTATGATAAAATATTATCTGTCTGGCAGGTTTTTTTTTTTAATTTGGGTTTTCTCTGTCCTAAATGAAGGATTAGCTTTTGCGTATAAATTAACCCCACCTAACAAAGAAAATTTTTCAAACTGCAGTAAGTATGATTTGCTTGTTGTCATGTGAAGGAAATGCCATCATTTTCAGTAGGAGATCTTAAAACAGAGAGGCTGCAGAGTAAAATTCCAGGGATGAATTCACAATTGCTGTTATCCAGTTTGACATAGGCACAGCTTTATTGTGCCCAATTAGATGGAAGCATAATTGCTACTAGGGGAGTGCATGATTCAACCCTAACTTTAGCTCTGCTTGCTTTTGAGCTGGAAGAGTGGTTCTGTATCTGCCCTGGATATTAAATGCTAGCATTGGTTGTATATAATCTCACCGACAAAATCCCTGTCCACCTATGGGCATATTACAGTAGACGCTAGTATATCCTAATAACATCTTAATTTATATCCCTAGTGTTAAACGCAAGCTACATGATGACTGGGTTGTGAAAGTTAAGTATATTTCTGAACTAAATTGTTTTGGATCCTGCTCCTCAGACAGCATTCATTCGTTTGTTTTGGATGACATAAAGCGACTAGAGGACAACTTGTAAGTATATGACATCTTCTGAAAAAACAGACCTTTTGCTTTATAACTCTGCATGAGATCAGTGCCTTGCAAGATGCCATCCTGTTGTATTGAAGCTGTCTTTTCTATAAGCATTGTTAATACAAACAAAAATACAACTACTTAAATACGTGAACATTTTTGTTTGTTAGCTTGATGTAGGAAAGGACTGTCCATATATGTTCATTACTCACAACCCCTAAAAATAAGTTACGTTGGCAGTGTTGTCTGCTCCAACTTCTCCTCAGCAGGCAAATTTTAGTTAGAAAATTGATTGCTTTGTTACATGTATATCATGTATCCATTCATTTAAAATTTATATCCACACAAAAATATATTCAACTAAGTTTCATTTAGTTTCAGTTTCATTTAGTTTCAGTTTCACAAGTTTCAGTTACAGAAGCTTAAACCAAGAAAGCAATTTATTCTGAGGGCTGTGAAATGGATTTACTAAGCAGCAGGAAAGGGGTTGTGGCCTTCTTCTTTGTGCCATATAATCGTATGGCCCATCAGTGCTATAGCTGATTCCAAGCCTTACTAGTCTGCGATTTTAGAAGAGTTTATACCCCAATTAAAAAATAAGTAATACAAACACAATTTGATGTAAAAAGGAACTAAAAATAACATATAGATAGAACTTTTCATTCAAATATCTCAAAGCATTGTAAACGTCAGATCGGCTTCACAATTCCTCTGTGAGGTACATCCAGAGATTAACAGATTGTTAAGGCTAGTAGCAAGTTATGATAATCTGTTTCATCTCTTGTATAACACAGGCCATAAATATTCATGTAGTAATTCTTGCATCAATCCAATAACTTGAGGTTTTATGAGTATTACGTGTCTGTTGTGGATGGAGAAAGTGAAATATGAAATAATTATAGCTTGTCCAAGGTCACATACTGTGTCAGGAGAAAAGGCGAGAAATCCTATTTGATTTTGCTGAGAGTTTTGGAAAAATAGAATTAATTTGAGGAGAAAGAAAAAAAAGACTGCAGAGCCAAAAGTATAGTCAAAAGAGTATATGCTACCACCATCCACTGTTTGTTATACAGAACATTAACTGCAAATATCTTGGTAGGTCTTTTTCATGTGACACTGACTGTAATTGTGTCTCCAGTTCCAATAAGTACATTTCTCTAAGCAGCTTCATGCAGCAGCTAAATGAAATTATAGTTAGACAACTGAAAAATTACACAGCTGTTAAAATGAAATTAATAGCCCTAAAAATAGCTATGGATCAATCACTTTGAAATGCCCATTCCATAAGTAATTATGGTTGAAATATATGATTTACTGGTGCTAGCAAAATATATTTCCCCAATTAACTTTGCAGCAAACGATTGTTACTGTGCTTGAAGAGGGATGCAATGTATCTCGTCTCCTATGTGACTCTTAAGTTTCTTTGTGGGTAATGGCTGATGAGCAGTTATAATCTTTTCTTGTAAAGTATTTAAAAAAAGGGAGGTGTGGATGGGATCACTGGGTGCTTCTGTTGCAAGGTCATGACTTGGGAAGGACTTCACACTGCTGAAACCTCTTATTCACACTGATGTTAGAAGAGTATCAAGACTGTTCATTAAAGAGCCAATAGACAGTTATGTAGAAGTATTAAATTTAAGAAATAAAGGAAAAAGATGAGAAATACTGAGGAAATCTGCCAATCACACATTTAAATCGATTACTTGCTATTTCATACCATCAAGAGAATTAAGATTCCTCTGTTAGAGCTCTGGAAAGAAAGCTTTGCTGCCTCTGAGTAATAGGGAGTGAACAGCCTTTCATTTACACCTGCCTAGAAAGAACAAGCTCTTTCATTAATCCTCAAAGTTTCCAGAGTCTTTTGTCAAATTTACTGTCATCCCCAGTTGTGGTTTTCAATATCCATGGTTACTGTCTAGCCCAGAATAAATGAACTACCTACTTGTCTGGATTTCAAAGAAAAAAATTAAATGTGTACTCATTTAATTCTGTATAGCTTAATTACACTGACAGTTATCGTTTCCTGGAAGAGATGGGTGTTAGCCATGCTATTGCTGACTCCAAAAATCAAGAAAATATTCACTTATTAGTAGCAATGTATGAAACGTGGAGACACAAGCAGAAGTTGCTCAAAGGGTGGGTTTGAAAGGGACACTGAGTCAATCTCAGTCTGTGTTGGTTTTTTGAATTCCTGTGCTTTTGCAGTGAATGCAACAGAATAATTCAGCTGAGTTTCAGAAACTTGCAGTCTTTTCATGTTTTTATACAACACAAAATAGGTAAAATAGAGACTATGCATTATACAATACATTATACGTAAGCAGCAGAAAAGCAACTGCACTTACTTTATGCAAAATAAAGGCCATAATAGACCTCCATGTCCAAAACTGGCAAAGGCAGTTGGTTTGATACTTTTCCTCAGTGATGAACTGCTTTAAGCATGCAGAGGTGTGTGAAGGCTTACTTTGGCAACAGCTACCATTTTAGGATTCTGTTTGGAGTATGACTGATAAAGGAATCAGGTGTTCAAATCAGAGATTTATTGCTGTGATAGAAAGTGTACCCTGTTCCCATTTTAGTGATGCTAGTATCTAAGTCACTGTTATAAATCAAATTGCTTTTAACAAGATTGTATACATTATGCAAACAGCTATTCTATATACTACAGAAAAGTAAAATGGAATGACTGTAGGCTGTATTTTCTTAAGGTTTCTTACCTGATTAACTGTTTTATTAATGATTACAGACCTGTAAAGGAATTTTCTGTCCCTAGAGGTGTCAATGCCTTCACATACTGTGGAAAAGCAAAAGTCATTGTCACTGGGGGTAAGTATTGGGGTTTTTTCCAAGAGATTGTTCTGTTGTGAATTTTTTCCCAGTTAAATAGAATCATAGAATCATTAAGGTTGGAAAAGACCTCAAAGATCATCGAGTCCAACCGTCAACCCAACGCCACCATGCCCACTAAACCATGTCCCTAACTGCTGCATCTACACGTCTTTTAAATACTTCCAGGGATGGGGACTCAACCACTTCCCTGGGCAGCCTGTTCCAATGTTTAACCACTCTTTCAGTAAAGACATTTTCCCTCA